GGACAGCCTGCCTCACCATGGTCTTCGCCACGGGCTGCAGGGGAATTGCTGCTACTGTGCTTTGAGCACCTCCTTCCACTCCTCCTTCACGGACCTTGGTGTCTGCAAAGTTGTTTCTCTCACATATTCTCGCTCCTCTCTGTGGCTGCAATTGCTGCTGTGTGGTAGATTTTTACCCTTAGGTACGTTATCGCGGGGGCACTGCTGTTGTCACTTGACAGGCTCAGCCTTGGCCAACAGCAGGTCCATATTGGATCTGGCCGGCATTGGCTGTATTGGACAGAGGGAAAACTTCTAGCAGTTTCTCACAGAAGCTACCGCTGTAGCTCCCCTGCTGCTAAAACCTTGGCGTGCAAACCCATTACACTGCTGCAATTATTCCAAAAGTTATCTTTGTTCTTTTTCAGAAAAAAATGTTAAGCGAGGAGAAAAAAAATTGTCAGTTCTCTTACAGGTATATCTGTATGAGCTGAGAATTCTAATTGCTTCTACTACATTTAATATAGGCTTAGGTGCTCTTGTATTTTGCATCCTCTTCTCTGTATATGCTACGTATTTTCTCCTAGAATGAGAATCTGTCAGTCTTTCTTCCCTCTCTCCACGACTAACATCGAGGTGTTTGGTATTTGTGTCCCAATGACTCTATGCACTATTGTCAAAGACACGTGGGAATTTCTCTCATCCATGTACAAAGTGTTTCTTTCTTAGGTAGTTTGGAGCCTTGGCTCAGGATGCTTTTATGAATTCAGTCCGGATGGTTAAACAGAATGTATAATTAGATTTGTTACCAAAGGAGCTGGTATAAATCTCTGCCTAGCTCTGTCTAGGTCATCTTAAGGTGCTGACCTCCCCTTCTTCCCCACGTGCATGTTAGATGACATGCAGTGCTACCCAAGTATAGGATGCTGCTAAGCTACTGCCCTAGCTGCTTGCCTTAAAGTATTTCTGGTGACATGCTCCCATGATAGTGCTTGCCCGCTCATTTCCATACGTTCACATTTGATTTATGACTGGAAGACTAAGAGGTCAGTAGGTTTATGTCAAGAAGGGATAAAAGTGAATGGTTTTAATTAATGAAGTGGAAATAATCAAAGGAACTCTTCGCTAACTTTCAATAATATTATAATGTGATTTTTTTTTTTTTTTTTTTTTCCTGGGGTGTGAGGTATCCAGTGCTTCCTTTTACTAGACTCGGAACATAAATCGCCAGGTCTGGTGGTTATTGCACTCATTGTTTAGGGGAGAGATCTGCAGGCTAAAAGAATATTGCTTGATTCTCAGGTATGCACATGACCTATGAATATATCTATATGAAAACTAAGCAAATTTGACATAGTGCCAGTGATAAATGGGAAATTCTTGTTCTTAGCAGATTGTTAATAAAAGCTTCTTATAAAAGAAGACATAATTAAAATGGTCCTTCTGTTGGATCCTTCAGGCTAAGTGCTAACACATCTATCTTTTTTTTTTTTTTAACAAAAATAATTCTTGAGAATACAACTCACCAGAAAAATGTCTGTGATAGGCAAAGAAGACTCATTTATGCTAGTATTTTTCATGTTTATTATTTTACCATATTGAAACTATAAGAAATTACTGAAATAACTCTTTAAAATATCCAAACAGCAATGCTTTGGTTATGAGTCATATTCATTGCTTTATCAGTATTTTCATTATTTTAATGTTTCAGATTCCTTTTTTGTTTGTTTTTTAAATCTATTTCTGTCATTCTAAGAAGTGATAAGCAGCAGTTATTATTTTATTTTTTCCTCATCTCCCCTGAAGAACATCAGGAAATACAGTGATTCGTGGGTTCCTTTTTAATATGCCAGGTGGTCTTTAAATTTAAAAGCTAGATAAACACTTATGTAGTGTATTCCCTTGTGCCAGACAGGATCAACATCTACCAAAACCATTCCTTGCAGCCGTTTTTCTAACCAAATGTTCAGTGGTATGCTAGCAATATATACTAACTTGCCTTTTCAGTTTCAGTAGTTATCTGATTGGCAGTGGTCCTCTGGCTGAAAAAGTTTGGGAGCCACTGCCTTCACATAATCTAATCTTGAATTTCTGATGGCAGGTCTCATACATATGTGCCCATGCTTCCTCAAACCTATTGTTAGATTTTTTTTTTCTTTTTCTGGTGTATAACTTAAATCTCTGTTTCTGAATTCTTCAGTTCAATACTTACCTGTCCGGAATAAATATGCAGAATATGTGTTTCCTTAGAGTTAGTAACAACTTCTTACATATTTGACATATTTGACAACTATGTATGTGTCTTCCCTTAGTCTCTAGACTGAGTGAAACCAGCTATCCTGATAAATTTTGTCTTCCAACTCTGATACTTGAATTGTATCTTCCAACTCTCTTTTCCTTTGCAGTCCAATAGATCTAACTTTGTCTTGCCTTGTAGTACCCAAACAAGGTAGATCTCTTCTATGCACCTTAGATATTTTGCTACTTAATTTACACCCCATTATTAAGTTTGCTTGTGTTTATAACACCGATACTGTCTGCGGTTTGTGATCTGTTGTATTATTTGGCTTCTGCAGAACTGCAATGCACCCAGTAAATTCTGATCTTGTATTTCTGCAGTCAGTTATTCCCACTAGCTATATGACCTTGCACTTCTCTTTAATGAAATTATTCTCATTTACTTCCAAGTGATTTTCCAATTTGCCCAAATAATTTTGAATTCTAATTCTGTCCTCTACCATGCTGCACTCTTTTTCAGGCTTTGTATAAGTTGCAAATTTAATAAGAGTTTTCTTTGTTGTATCATCTGAGTTACTTAAGTATTGGACAGTGTTAGATACAGGACTGACCTCCACGGACGAGTTACTTTCTCCCAGTTTGGCAGAGAAACACTGAGGTTCTTCTGGAACCTCCTTTGACCTCTGTGAAGTCTCAAAGATGGTAGGTAGCAGTTTGAGGTTGTTTCAGCATACTGAGATGAATTTCACCATGATGCCTAGCTTCAACCTTGGGCACCAGCACTTTCAGATGGAATTTCTGAAAGTTGTTTCTGAGATTACTGTCAGTTTTCATTGAACCTTTTTGCCTGGAGCATATCTCGAAAAAAATTTCTGTGTATCTGAAACATTTCTCTTGCAGGAGATATCAGCAGGACACATAGTATCTTTTATTACACCAGCTGCTGTTTGTAAGGGAGTGGGAAGGCATGGAAGCCGTTCTTAGAAGCTTTTTTGGTGCTAGAAGAATTTTGGTGATGCTCAACACAGTCATCTTCATGATGCAGTGGATTTTGCTCCAGGAAGGCAGGCTGGGGGGAGCTCTGTGTGTGCAGTTTTGTGTTCTGTTTATTTTGAGAACAGCCTGTCTTCCATTGCTTTTTAATTTCTTCTAATTCTACAGTTCCCCTCAAAACCGATGCAAGAAATTCTGCCTTTATGTAATTAGATGGGAAGAATCCTCTCCAATAAATAAAGTTCCACCTATTCTGTCCTTCCCCAAAGTAGGCACAGAGTTCAGTACACCAATACTCGTCCCTAGAAACAGGACTGCCTTATATAGGAGTCTCTTTTCCACAGTTCATGTGGTAATGCTAAGGAATTTTTATTTCTCTATATATCTGCAAGACTTTTGTCTCTGTAGTCTCATCCAACTTGAATGTTTCCATTTGCTGGCTTAATATTGTCAAGTAGTATGCTTCAGTCTGATCACATGCTGTTTAAAGAAGTAAAAGTAGTACCAGTCCTGCTAGGTGATAGCTCGTGTAAGTAGTGAGATGCAGGAGGCAATAGCATATTGCATAAGATCAACCATGACTTTCTTTAAGCAGAAAATGTTGTTCTGGTTAATGTTACTCAGGACTCAACTATCAAGTGTCTTTCAAATATGTCTGAATAGATTTGATTATTATCTAAGGAAAAGATGGATGCTTATAACTGTTAAGACTATTGTTCTCTAAGTGGTGGACAGAATTCAGGAAAAAAGATAGCAAGGTTTCAACACAGCAGTGCTGTCTTAATGGCTGCATATTGGACATGACATGCATAATATTTAGCTATATTAAGCTTCATCTGAGTATTTTGTATATATTTTGAGATAATGTAAAAGGTGTCGTTTATTAAGGTCTGGTTTGCCAGGAGACTTTTACAAAGAATTATTATGGATAACTGTGGTTCTGGCTGTTTAATCTGCTCTCTCGTGTTCTCACTACTATATTTAGTACAATAAATCTTTAAGTTTTGCACAGTGCAGATTTGGAGAGGTTTATCTCGCCTGCTACTCCAAAGTTTTAGCTTTTTCTACTGTGATTTGGGGGAAATTTTGCATCCTAGCTCTTGGTTGATAAGTGTAAAGAATAGGGTTATAGAGCTTTTGTCATGTTGTATACAGAGCAGTTTGTATTTCATGGACACTGTTCAAGCTCAAAGCAAGGCCTTAGTTCCATCTGTCTTTTGGTTTTTTGGTTTTGACCTGATACTTACTGTGAGTGTCTGAATGGGTCTCCCTTAGAGCCCCAACAAGACGTGTTCAGGACATTCCTCATGCTCAGGAGTTTACTACAGTTTGTTTCAGCACCGTGGAGGAACTTAATGCATTCTTTCATGGTCTTCGACTTTCAACATGGAAACAAAACCCAGATTTGGTCCTTCATCACTCCTTTGTGGTCCCTTCGCCTGCTTGCTGGCTCAAAAGGTTGTGCTTCCTTCTCTCTGCCAGTTTCCTGGGATCAAGCAAGAGATGGTACATGAGGAGGGCATTCAGACTTGAATCAAATATTACCTCAAGACCGGAAGAATGACTATCTTTGCATCCGGTATGTGGACTTCAAGGAGGTTGCGTCTTCTATGAGCAGATGAGTATAATGTGCTCTTTTTAATTGAAGCAACATCAACTGTGGCTTTCATCATAGCAGTATCTGAAGATTCTTTGAAGAGAAACTTAGACATTAGGGAAGGATATCTTTTTTATTTTTTTTTTCTCCCCCCTAACTAGTTGTCAAGATTTCCTCCATCTTTCAATGAAGAATTAGATTGATCCGTTTGTAGGATGTTTGTAGGAGTGAGTGGATGGAAGAAGTTGATGGAGTTCAATAAATGAATTTCATTTACTTTGTAAGAGGTCTGTGAATGATGCATTTTAGGTGTTTCAATAGCCTTGGTCTGTGTGTATGCTCCTTGCTTTATTTTTGTTCACACTTTTCTTTCTGAATTTCAGCATTTTAAGAGAAGCTTAGCATAGAACAGGATGCTCTGGTCAAAAAAGGCCAGTAGTAGCAGCAAAAGTTCTAGTAATGCCTCATGATTCTTTTACTCATGTTTGGTTCTTATTTGGGAAATGTATATCCAGTAACTTTAAGTCATCTGTTGTAGTTTATCTGAATTGTACACAGGGAGATTTGCAGAGGTGGAAGGATTTTGAAACTGGCTACAACCTGGTTCATTAGGCTGCACTGAAGCTGACACTTAGATAGCTGTCTTCTTCTAAGCCTAGCTCACATTCAGGAGCAGTTTTTCTGCTTTTGTGCAGTTTATGCGCAAGATAATAAACATGAAAGGTTCTGGGTGGAATCAGCCTGCGTCAGCGTGGCAGATGCTGAGATAGAGTTAATAAGCACAGTCAGACACTGCCCGAATCCTGCAGAGCTCTTCTGAAATCCACTTCACTACTCTTCCCCGTCCACCACAGGGACTTAACTTTCTCACACGGCGATATACACATCCCCTAACATATAGCCCTGGGAAGCTCTTTGCTTACGGCTTTGCAGGGATGAATGGATCCAACTCAGCTGGATCCTGAGTTTAGCCATTTCCAGTATTTGTATCATACTGCTTATCTGGTTTTCCCTTCCTCTCTTCTTTCTGTGGGGGAGCTCCTAATTGCAGATAAGGGCTATTTTGCTCCAGACTTTTGGCAATTTGGTGAAGGGGTTTTAGGTTTGAATCTTGACCATATTTTCTTGTTATTTTGCTGTGTGGATTTTATTTGTTTGTAGAAGAAGCAAACGTTATGATTAGGAAAGAAACTAATTCTTGTGTCCATGTTCTTAGTAATTTGGACGCCAAAGAAGACTCTTAAAATCATTCAGAGATGAGGAAACAAGGAATCAAGTAACTCACTGAATCTTGCAAGTATTCATTTGATGTTTGTTGGTCAGGTAGTATGATGGTCCAGTTGTCGAGATAGATTGACACCAGTTTCCCCTTTTCCCACATTTGCACCAGTTTTGGCACAGTGTCCAGGAATTTTATTGAGACAAAATAATTTTGTGCAATGTAGTTTTTGTTTTTAGCTTTACAAAAGCTGTGATATTTGCCTGTGATCACAGTGAGAAAACAAGAGGAAAGAGATCAAAGAGTACCAACCAATTGATACTTTAGGGCAAATTATGTGACTATAAAGAAAACATCTGAAGTTCAGTTTCTTCCAGAGGCTGCATATATTTTTACAATGTGACTGAACGATAAAATAGATTTCTGTCTTGCACCTGTCAAGATTAGTTTTTTATGCAGTGTTGGGAGCAGGAGTGTTTGGCTACTCTTTTGTTTTCAAAGCTATAGAGTAAATTTTGGTTCAAGCCTTGGGAACAGAAAGCCTTAAACAAAAGGGCTCTTGGCTCTGAAATTTTAATTTCCAAAACTTTTTTTTTCTCCATCCTTATTGACTGGTCTGATAAAAGTATCTTTTTCCTCCTACAAGCTTTGTTACATTCTTTACAAATTTATTGGTTTGTGTATGTAAATGGACTGGGTAAGGCTGATGCATCCTGGCTTTTTGGGGAAAAAAAAAAAGAAAAAAAATGCTGCCCATGTAGTTTGAAGTAGTACTCCTTGAATAAACTCATTGCTGAGCAGTGACGCTTATAGCAAGCTGCCCAAAGTCTCTCATAGGATGACATATAAAGTAGCAAAGCTTTACAATATTGCTAAGTCAATTAAACACCAATAAAGGAAGAAAAAGGCAATACTGGGACAATCAGTTAATCTCAAAAGGTGAAATTAAAATATTTATTTCCAAGCTCTAAAACATAATCGACTCTACCATCATAATATACAGAACCTAATTAATATGCTAACTAGGGATTATGAGGGCAACAGTGGATAATATTAAAGTATTCTTATAAATAATTATTTTTAAATGTCACTAGGAGGCCGACATAATGCCTTTAGACTTCTTTTTTTCTTTTAAGTTCTATCAGTACTTTAGGTGAATTAGTTTTAATATTCTGACAGCTTCAAAGATGTCTGCATGAGCAGCTCTGTTGGTAGGGCAGGCAGAGCCGGAAAGCTCTACTTGGCAGAGGATGACAAGTGGGTGCTGCAGTCCCAGAGTGCTGGTTTGACACAGCAGGTCTAAATGAGCTTCATTTTGTGTTCCTCATAAATCCTGCTCTCCAGCCAACTCCTTGCTATCTGTTGATTTATCTTTCTGTTTTCTCACTTCCTTGATTACTTGTGTGCCATGACTTCATTGCCCTTGTCCAAAATCCCAGCAGAGAGATGAGGAACTTAATTTGATTTTTTTTTTTTTAATTCATGCAAGACTGTAGTAGTGGGGTGGGGTTTTTTTATTAACAAGGTAAGAATTTGATCAAAACTTGAAAGCAGACACAGGCTGTCTAACTGATAATGTGTTTCTCCTGCATTAATTGTGCTAATTTGTTATCACTTCAAGCTTTCTGTTCAGTCAGGGTAGAAGAGGCTGAGGTTTTTTAGAAACAATTTTAGAATGAGGCTTTAATGTTGCAGAATAGATCATACTGCATGCAAAATGGTTCTGGTTGTGAAAAGATGATTGCTTAAATAATTTCAGTGTGTAAAAACTTAAAACATACTGAAACATGTTTACTATAATAAAAGTTATTTAGCAAAATAATGTTTAAAATAAAGCACTATTTTACTAACCTTTTCCTCCTCCTTCAACTTGGTTTACTGAGATATTGTGTATATTTTTTGAAATTATTTCTTTAGTAATTTTAGTTTTAATAATTTTGTAATGGTAACTTTTAGGTGACTCAGTTCTTAGGGTTTTATTACAGAAAGCTTTATAGATGCTGTATCTAGCCAGAACTAGTCTAGATATCCAGAAAGCTGAATATCTAGGTATTAAAGCTTAGTTTCAGTGTATGCAAAAACTTTGCAGACTGTAGAGCCATTATACTGAAGGGGCTGCACGACATACAGCAGTCTCTAGATAATGACACTGGAAATATTTTGGGGTGAAGGGAAAGCTCAAACCATTGTATCACGTACAGCATATGATGTGGTGTTTTTATGATGTGCTTTAAACACTAACCATTTAGCAATTTTATGTTTTGGATATGAACATGTATGTTTGCAGTAAAGACCTTTCTAAACTGGTCCTAGCTTGGGCGTTAGTTTCCAGAGATTCGTTCATCTGTCTTTTCGGTTTATAAAACTCGTATTATTGGTCTGTAATTTGGGAAGCATATTTTTTGGTACAAAACCAGCATATTTTTATAATTGGAACTGGCTATGTTAAAATCTGGAACATCTCTTCCAGACTTGAAACTTGATTTCAGGTGACAGGGTGTCCTTTGGTTTGTAATGTGATATGTACGATTTCAAATACTGCACTCCTTTCTTGTAGGTGGACGTCAAGCTTCCGTCTTATCTGCTATGACAATACTTTCTATCAAGTTTCGTATTTTGTTTATATTTACTTTACACTGAAAGCACAAACTGAAATCTTTGTGGTTTAAGAAAGGCTGTGCCTGATTTTGTGGTTGCACAGCAGTATGCATACGTTTAGTGCTATTATGTGTGGGGACCAAGCACAGAAGCCATTAGGTATTGTGAGTTGCTGAGGATGAAAACAGGCCTTCCAGAAAATGCCATCGTTTCTGTCCTTAAGTTGCATCTAATATTGCTTCTACTTTTCCCCTTGAATGCGTGGCAGTGCTGCATCCTCCTGTTGGCGTGTATGAGCTGAGCTCTGCTCTCAGATCACTGGTCATGGTGCAGAATAAGGGCTGCTTTCTTGGACTGACTTTATTTTTTCAGTGTTGGGTGTAGGTGTTTGTCTGGTGAATGATTGCAGGAGAGGAGAATTATTGCTGTAAGGGATGCATTATCATGCCCCAGACAAATCTTTTTTTTATCTCCTCATGTCCCTAAATTCCTGTTAAAGTGTGTCTAAAACACAATTAAATTAACAGGAACTGTCACCTGCAAACTTAAATGTTTGGGTTTCTATCAATATTTACTGTGTTTCTGCATATATCTCTTTTTAACTTGTAGACAGTTGTTGGTAACTTCTGTTTCTGTAGATTGAAAGCAGATTCAGTCTTGCACTGCTGGATGGTGAAAAAAAATATTTTAGTCTTTATGACTGCGATGTTGAATGTGCAGTTTATACCGTTACTGCTGGTCTTTTGCCTTTTGGGTCAGTGAGAGCAGAAAACAGTTCTTTTTTTTTTTTTGTAGCAATTTTAAAAGAATGTTATTCGTTTGTATTGTATTATATTGGATGTAGCATTAATTGTTTAACCGTGAGAGTTTCATTGCATATATTGTGCTGTGATATTTATGTGTTGCTTTGTCTCTTGCAGATCTAGAAATGGCAATCGCATATTGGAATTTAGTCTTATCAGGAAGGTTTAAATTTCTAGATCTTTGGAATAAATTTTTGTTGGTAAGTACGTACCATATTCCTTCCTGACTATTTTAGTCCACAGTAGTCTGGTTTGTGGGCTATGTGCTTACAATAGAGAAAAAGACAGGATGTCTGAATGCTTCCTTCAAACTTTTTCCTTTTTGAAAACTGATATAAAATAGGCTTAAATCAAGCCAAATTAAATCTTCTCTACGTAATTTTTTTAGTTGAGAAGAATGCAAAAAGATGTAGCAAAGCAGTAGAGCATTCTGCTTGCTTAATCCTGTATCCTCCTACTTATAAAAGCTTCTGCATGAGAGGAAGCCATGACTGTAGGTTGAACCTATTTTGTCTTTATTCTCAAGATAGCTGTGATTATTGTCAACCATGTACTTTACCATGCTCTGCCTTTTGTGGTAGTAATGCATGAACTCAGTCTGTTTTAGATGTCAATCCTGTTATGACTGACTTAACCTGAGAGACTTCTTAAGCGAAATTTTTTGTCTGAGTAATTATTTTGACTCACTTTTTAGATAAGAGTTGTGAACTGATCTTGACAGTTTTCCATTAGCAGTGCAGTTCTGTAGGCAGTGGAGTAAAGATGCATAAATTAAACTTTAGAAATTACAAAATATTCTTATTAAAGACCCGGTTCATTCATCCGTGTTTCTACATCTGCATTTCTATGTACTTGAAAAAAAACCCAACCCTTATATAATGTTACATAATGTATAATTTGTCTTGATTTTTTTTTTTTAAATTTATGCTTTTATCTGTATTTTAGGAGACTTTAGAAGTCTTTCTGTATTTTGTCCCATAATCACTGTTACTTGATAGGGGAAGTGTATACTTTTTTAATATGATTTTTTAAAAAATTTTTGGACTGTATATTTATTTAATTCTCTTAATAATGTACCAGTTTCATCAAGAGAATTTGTGAAAACATTTCACATTTTAACTGCCTTAATATACTTAAAGCATCCAAATTCAGATCTATAGATGAAGAAAAGTCTTAATGTTTTTTCCCACTTGGCTGTGCGATCAAGTTTGTTACAACAGACAGTTCTGCAGATCTCTACTTCAAGCAATGATCTAGATCATCTGGTATAAAGTGTATTACTTTGCTACAAATATTTAACCTGAACGTTTACTTTAGAAGAAATGCTTAGATTAAAAAAATTCAACCTAAGAAAGAAGCAAGTTAGGATTCTTTAGGATGGGGTGGGTTTTATTGTTTGTGTGTTGTTTGTTTTAAGGAAACTTTTTCTGGAAGGTGTGTTTGCTTGTCATGTTTTTTGCAGTCAAGGTACAACCTTTGGCTTGAGTGAGAGGACCTGTTTGCTGTTGTGTTGGACATCAACCTCATTTGGATCAAGTTCCAGATTTTTGAAATGCAGTTTGCTCTTTTCAAAACTCTAGAGCGTTCCTGCTTAAGAAAAGAACCCTAACAAACAAGCAAAAAACCAAACCCCCTACCCCGCAACACAAAACCAAAACCACAAACACAAAAAAACCCCCAGCCCTTCACCAAGCAAGTCTTTCCACGCAGTTGCAACTTTTCACTGCGAACCAGAACTAGGTGTTAACGTTTGATTCCCTATTAATCACAAGCTATCTTCAGTTAATATAGCAGTATGACATGTGAATGGTCTGACTTGATCCCACAGCTCGGAACTGCTTAGTAGTTGTGTTTGCCCACACGCTTGCTCTTCTTGGGAGTGCTAAGCTGACTGGGACTGAGGTTTTCTGGAGTGCTACTCAAACTGGGCAGGGTGGCAACTAGTACTTTTGAATGGGGTGATGCCGAAGGAGTGTATTTGAAATCAGCCAAGGAGGAGGTAGTGGGGAATAGGACAGACTGGGGAAAAAGGAGACTGGGTAGAAGTGTAGCAAATGCAGGTAGTGCATTATGGTGTAGGAGAGAGCAGCTGAAGAGAGGCTGAGATGATGGATCTGAAAGGCAGCCTGGGAGTGAGACAAGTGCAGGTACATCTGTAACCCACAATTTGAAAGAGAGATTGTGTAAGGAAAAAGGGGTAAGGAAAAAAAGGGCTCAAGTTGAAATGGCAGAACGTTAACCCATGGCTGCATAGTTTCAGAACTGGGAATGGATGCTATTAAGTAGAAGTATAAAGTACTTTTGGTTTATTCTTTTCCTTAACAAGTTAGGAACATGTACCCTAAAAGCAGAATTGAAGAAATAAAACAACTGTCAAAGACTTCTTACTCTTGCCTTCTTTACTTGCAATTTATTTTGTAGCTTTCTTTGGAAGCTCTGATCTTTATTTTAAAAAAAAAAAGAGAACAAGAAAAAATAATTGTAAAACATGTATTTCTCTATATGTCAATATAAAATACTACTGTGGAATTTGAAAATAGTTTGGATTGAACAGTACCATTTTTCCTCCTTTATAGGAACACCATAAACGATCAATTCCAAAAGATACTTGGAATCTTTTGTTAGACTTTGGAAATATGATTGCAGATGATATGTCCAACTATGACGAAGAAGGTAAGCACCACTTGGATGTCTTCAAAAATTGGTACAGCTGAATTAAAATATTGCTATAAACAAACAACAAAACATGCTGCTACCTTCCGTCTTAATTTGTTTACCCTTGGAGGTTTAGCTGCAAATACAGTGTCATACTTGTTGTCAAAACAGTAGCGGTAAGTTTAACTAGTTTGCTGTAATATGTAAGTAGAAGTAAAGACTTTGTCACACCTTGATATAGCACATGCTATTTGAACCTGTTATGCTACAAGAGTCTCAGTAAAACTATTTTTCGTACAAAGGCGCTGCTAACTGCAAGGAAATGCATAACTTTTCTACTTGCAGGAATGTCTATGTGGGCATTTTTTTTTTTAATAACCTAAAAGCAATTTACACTCTGCTAATCGTGCAAATCCTGTTTTGGAATGACCGTGTGCTGAAATATTTCCTAGTTTATGAATGGCTTTAATAGGGATGCCATGGTTTTGCTATTGACTAATGTTTATAAACTTTGTAGTGTGGATTTTTGTTTTAAATACATTTTGTTTACTAAGAACTATTGCTGCAAGAAGAAATTCAAATGCTTAATTTGTTTCTTAGGTGCTTTTTTCAAGTGTTTATCGTGTCATGCATGTTAAAGCTAGACTAGGCCAGAAATGTCGAAGTGAGCTTCTGATCCTTTGTATTTAGAGACTATGCCGGTTTATTGCTGATAAGAATACATTAATTTCTGAACTGCTTGGCTTCTCTTTAGGAGCGTGGCCTGTTCTTATAGATGATTTTGTGGAATATGCACGACCAGTAGTCACAGGAGGAAAACGTAAATCTTCCTAACCCCGGACTTGTCAATATGGACTAAACGTGTGCTCTGAACTGCATTAGGTAATGAAGATTTGGTGACTGATAACTGTGCGCGTTGTTGCTGGTTTCAGCGGACATGATGAGATTCTGCAGACAAAAATTAAATTCTTCCTTTCTGCCTGAAGAAAGTGATGGCTGACTTGTGGACACTTTGAGAACAAACTCAGAAGATAGTCCAAGCTGTTTGTAGGCTATTGGCTTCAATTATTGTACTGGTTGTATCATATAGGATCTAGATTTTGCATGATTTTATACTTTGGAGAAGTTTAACTAGAGGCCGTTTTATTAAAGTTTTGACAGCACAGCATGCCATTCAGTTCATGATCCAAAGTGAACACCAGCAGTTACATAAATAAAACTGTATTATATTGTACTTATATTAAAAGCAGTATTTGTGGTATATAAATTAAATCCCTAAATAAAACTTATGCAGTATGTTGTATTTTTATAAAAGTTAGCTCTGTGGATCTACCCTGATATAAAATTGTAACAAAACAAAAAAGAAACTTATGCTTTTTTTTTTTACTGGTTGCCAAAATTTTAAATTTGTATTTTTAAGTTCTAGATGTATCGATTGATTACATTCAGCGTTTTGTTTTCTCCCAGTGACATTAATTTCCTCATTATTCTCCTTGAAGTGCTTGGACATATTAACAGTAGCATTGCTGAGGAAGGGCTGCTGCTTTGTGCTGTGTTGCAACTCCAGCTTTTTTTATTAACCATTTTAAAGTAGATGTTAAACGACCAAAGATGCTTTTATGATTCATGTTTGATATAATTCATAATTCAGTTAGTCTTCAATTGTGTGTTTTATTTAAAATAATGAACTGGTAGAATATGACTTTTAGTTTTACTTGTAGCCTGAAACATATCATAAATTCTAGATAAATGCAAGTCCTGGCCCTTCTCACAGAAAATAAATGTGAATAAGCCCAAAGACTTAATTAGTTGGTTTCCACTTTGGAGTAAGGAGACTTTATAGTAATTATGATAAGCATTCGTGCCTCTGGCTATATTGTGCATTCAATTTTATTTAAGGGGGAAAAAAAAAGAGTAAAGTAATGCAGTGTCATTGTTCTGAAGTGGAATTGGACCAGTTTTCACCAAATCTGAATTTGTTCGGTTGTTTGTTTCTCCCCTTTCACCAGTCATTGATTACAAACCGTAGAGAGGTCAGTCTCCTCTCTCAACAGTGTCTTCCACTGCCTAAGCACAAAAAAAGTTTTACCGGAAACTATTCACCATGTCTTCACACAGGGCTCTTATAAATGCTACCTCATCAACATCAGTTTGTCATAGCCACTGTAAAAGTTTGTTAAAGATTTGCTAAAGAGTATGTACAGCTATGATTAATATATTTTCTGTAATCAGAGCTGAATAGATGCAAAAATTTTGGAGAAAATAGTGCATTAAGCTGTATAATTTATATCTGTTTGGATCGCATCAGATCATTTAAGTATTGCATGACAGCCTACTATTTTATTTTGTAGTTGTGAGGGTATAAAAGCTTACAATATTCTCTTAAACTCTAATATTTAGAGTTTTGTATAAGCAGTCAGCTTCCATTTATGTCAGTGCAGCCTCCAAGAACAAATGTACGTGCTCTGTGCAGAAGGATTACCTTCATTCTTCTGCTTGAGAGAATTTCAGTTGTGCACGATGTTTAAAAAGCAGGAGTAGGACAAATTTGAACAAATCAGCAAATTTTCTGTTAATAAGAATGTAGCAGGCAAGTTACGAATGCCCCGGGACTGATAGATTAGTAGAAGTCCTTCTACCCGAAGCAGTTATTTGTAAGTGCTGGGTCTTGCCTGGGAGCCGCCAGGTGTCAGTGTCTCGGCCTCCAGCTGCCTCGCTCCGCTCTGTAGAGCTGGGGAGTCATAATAAGCCAAATTATTACTTTCTGACTACATCTTTTTAGAAGGGTGTTTGTGGACGTAAGTGCAGGTATTCTACAGAAGTCAACGGAGGTTTAAAAAACAGTGTTAAGCTATTTTTAATGCATCTTCCTTTCCAAACCAAGCTGTTTCTGTATCTGTCCTGTAGGCTTCGGAGAATGTGTAACATCTCATAACATCAAGTGCGCTTCTTCGGCCAAAAGCGGTGGAATGCTTGTTAGTCACCCAATTGCCACTTAAAATATGTAGTTATAATGTAACTGACCAGAAGTAGTTTAATCTATTGGTATGTGATGTATCCAAGTAGTTTCAAAGCTCTAGAGCTTGAGACATTTGTTCATGCTGAGAACTCCTTCAAATCAGCCTGATGAACCTTCTATTATTAAAAATAAATAGAGCATAAAAAATGCATGTGGGTTGAGGTTTTTTGCCTTGTTAATCTGAGGAAGAAGGAAGGTGCTTAGCACAGTATTCGCTTTCTATACATACACACTTATTCACTTACCCTTAAGCCTCCTTCCTGTGAGGATCCTTCACGGAACACACCTTCCAACAGAGGGAGACTGGGCGAAATACTCTCAAGATAGGAGTTGCTCCTTGTCAGCCCGCTTCCTAGGCATAGTATGCTTTCTCTTTTGTTCTTCCTAGTCTTCTACCTGTTTTGAACCGTGTCTGCATTTTACATTCCCATAAATAATAGCATGGAGTAACACCTTCACACTTGAACAGTCATAAAAATAAATGCAAATAAACTTTCAAACTAGGAGTTCTTTCTGTATTTTAATAATTCGCTGCTGTCCACAGTTGCACTTTACAGCGTTGTTAGATAAGCTGGTACAGGGATAACACCTCGGCTGATCAATTTGTAATCAGAAATGGGACAGATGTCTTCAAGTTGGTCAGTGCATACGGTGTTGGTTACTAAATACACTGTATGTATTTTTAAACTTGGTGCCAAGTTGTTTGGTTTTGCATCCTAGAGGGTTTGAAACCGAGCCATAGGATTTGTACTTGCCAATTCTAAATTTAAATGTAATTTATCATGTATGTCATGCGAAGGAGAGCAAACCTGCAGGCATCTGCTCATTCAATGCACCTGGGAGATTTGCTGCTAAGCTGTACGTGTGTAAATTTTGTGGCAATGGAAAAAGGAATAAATGGACTGTCAACATAATGGATTGAAGTCAGTCGTGTGAGATGTCTGCATGGGTTTTGTCAGCTTTCTGCTTTGGAAGCCTTGCAAAGGCCGGTGGGTTTGTTTGTTTGTTTGTTTTCTGGTTTATTTATTAGATTCTTGCACTATTATTCCATCAGTCAGAAGAGTGCAAGGATGTAACTCATTAATTTTTGAGTAGTTATAATAAATGTCTGTTTTGCTCATCTGTGCCGCCTTTTAAGAAGCTCACTGTGTTTTGCTGCAGTGCTGCATCCACTACATGTACCTGCTGGCAACCAGACTCTGCAACTTGCATCATGAGTTTGTACTGGCCATGAGAGGTGTAATTGCAGGGAAGGTCTTGCTCAGTCCTAGGCTCTGAGCTCTGTAGGAGAAGGAGCATGCTCAGAAGTCTGTGCAACGACTTCAGAGGTGTGTATTCAACTGTCCTTAGTTACCTTCTGAAAGTTTAAATCAACTAACTTGTCCTCTGTACTCTCCCAGCTGGCATCCCTCTCCAGCGGTTTCACCAGCCCCTGGCTGCTTTGGTATCACACGAGCCTGTCCTCCTCCTGCAACAGCAAAACTGCTGGTGCTGATACCTGAACTGTGGCAAGCTCTTTTCCTTTCAGGTGTTGGCACCAGTAGCTTCCCTCAGCTGATGCCAACCAGCATCTGGCACAAAAGGCACAGCATTTCTGAAGGGGAAAAAGTGTCGTGTTTCTACAACCGTGAGAACTTCATTTAAAAAATATTCAACAAAACATTTTTTCTGACCTTTGCGTTACGTACAGTATTCTGAGTAGAATTGGGTGAGGACGACACACCTCTAAGATGGGCTTTTTTGTTATAAACTGTTGACAGAGGAGTCTGCAGCTGCCGCTACCTCTGCAACCACAGGCACAGAATTACTTGTTTCGGACAAGTGGGTACAACGTTCACCTCTTAATGAGAAGGGCCTGGGGAAGCTGAAGGACATTCAAATTTTGATTGAGTATAATTATTGGGATACTTCCTCTTGTTGGTGTGTATATGTGACAAATTCCCATGTGTTTTTTCTTTTGCAAGCAGTGAAATACTGTTTATCGTTAGACAAACCTTACAGGCTCATGTCATGACATAGGCTTTCTGTCAAGAGGGTAAAGAAGAAAGAAGTCTATGCTGCAGTGTTAAAGGCATAATTTTCCTTTAAGGCAGTGGTGTAAAGCTATATGAAAACGATTCATCCCCACTGTTAAAGAATTGAGTAAAACCAGTTTATTTTTCCCTGGATCTCAAGGGCTGTGTTCTATAATTAGTATCGTTCCTAAAGGAATGTGTAACGAAGTGTAACCCTTCACGTCAGTAGTGGCAAAGATGTAGCTCTGCCAGAAGTACACCCATTTGGTGTCAGCCCTGCTTTTCCAGGGTGTGGCTCTGCATTCTTTGGATGGGGGAACTTGGAATCAAGAGCCTTTCTCTGGTAGGTGTCTGAATGGCAGCAGCATCACTCGCTTGTGGTGAAGTACTTGGGATGTAGTCGTTGCCTTTTAACTTAACATGCTGAAGGGCTTGTGTTGACAGAGCAGTCTCAGCCCATGCTCCTTTCACAGATTCATTGATTCGTAAAAGACAACAGCACCTGTGTAGCCCAAGAGCCCTCTCCTGGGCGGTGGAGATCGCTGTTTCTCATCCCCTCTGGTGGAGAGGGCAGGTGGAGCCTTGTTTGCTGAAGGCATGCTTTCCTGTTCTCACTTCTCACGTAGGTTTTCAAATGCGGTTGAGCTGAAGCAACAGCATGTGGCCACCAACATGAACAAGTCTTTTCTCTGTCCTGCCTTCCCATTCCTTTTTTTCTGGATTCTCCCCATAAAGCGGTCATATGTACACTAATGAGAGGACACCAAAGCTGCATTTTTATCAGATTTACTATTTACCGAAGATTTGTTTGCCAGCTCTGCTTGTTTGGGTTTTTTTTCCTATTGTGAATATATATGATAAGTGAATACTTATCCACCTTAGTGGAGTTACTGTATTTTGGCTATATTTAAGACACACAAGTATGATATTACAAATAATTGTCTCATCTGGGGGGGAGCAGGGGTAGATATCAGTGTGCCTAACCTACCTCTGCCCAGAAAGCTCATAGTGGCTGGAAGTACCACATGAAAAGATCATGTGCAACTAACAAACTAAATAAAAACTAAATTTTTTGTTGCATGTTCTGTTTTGCAGTTGAAAAATGGAACTTCTCTGAAATTTTTCTCTGGGTTTTCATTATGGCCTTATTTCTAAAGCTGAAGATTTTATTCCTATTTTGGACTGTGTTATGAGCAGCCAAGTGTGCATGCAACAGGGTAAAGTCCATGGGAGGCAAAAGGGCAGTGCAACTGCC